CAGAGTTACGTAGTTTTGAGTTCCATGTCGCACTTGGGGATACGTAGGAGCGAGATTCAACGTCTCGTCAAGCACCCTAATAAAAAACTTATTTTCCCCCATTATTTTATTTTTATAAATATCCTGCAATAATTAGAAGAAATCAAATAACGTAAGCTAACACTCTTATTCGCAAGACTAATTAAATAGTTCTCGTTGAGTACAACTGATGTGTGGGGTGCTAATATCTTTCTCGCGCATAACCGACTTCTGAACTTGAATTTGGTTGCGATGACCATATTTTTATTCTTTTAGATTTATATCGATGTTTTCCCTTTTAAAAAATAAAAATTTAGTGGAGACTTCATTTAATTTCGAGCGTTCATTTGTTCGGATATTTTTTACACCGCGACACAAACGAATTACAAAAGAGTGATATGGAAGGAGTTTGATAACATCAGGAAAAGGCCTCAAAGTGTGTGTTTAAATATGACTTTGATTGATTCGATTAAAAAATTTCCAAATTCATTATTAAATACTTTTGTATGTTAATTGAGTGATAATCCTATCAAATTGAGCGCATGTTATATATATAAATTAATGTTTATATTGTCTCACTATAACACAAAACATTAATTTTTATTATTTTATTAAACTTTATCTATAATCTACTCAATCTTTTTTTTTAAATGTTATACGTTAATATAATCAAATTAATATTTAATTTTTATTTTACTTCACAAATTTTTTATACTCCATTAGTTTCTCATATGTTAAAAACATGCATTTTATTTAAAAACATGATATAATATTAAAAAAAGAATATTATATTTAAAATATATTATATTTAAAATATAATATAATTTTATATTGTATTTGTAAGAAATATTATGGATTTTTAAAAATTTTGGTATAAAAATTAGTTTGTTTAGGGCGGATTGCTCGAAGTCCGCACATGATCGAGTTCATATAGTAATATTTGAACCTGTATTATAAAAAAAATTGACCTGACCTTAAAAAACTCAAAATCCATCAAGACCGGCCTATTTAAGATTAAATAGTTCGTTTTGATATCTCTATCTTTCACTCATTTAATTAGAACATCCTCTAAAAGATGGTGGTGGAATTGCTCTTCCAAATTGTACGTTGATCAGGGATACTAAGTTTTTTTTTTTAGAAATCTATTATAAATCTTTAAAAATCAAAGTATCAGAAAAAAACCATACTTAACTCCTCTAATTCAAACTTACATTAAACTAATTTTACGGGCAAAAATGACTTATTACACTAATGCTTAATTTATATGCATTTGACCATTAATGATGGAGATGTGTGATACCAATATTTTTCATACTTTTTTAATTTATTTTAATCACACTGAATTATCAGCATTGTGGGTCCAATGAAAATCATTAGTCTGCAAACTATTCAATATTAGTGTGCATAGCCGTTCAACACAGTATTCAAAGGCCGTTGAAGTAGAATATTGCACACAACTTTCCATGGTATACTCGTAATTGCAGCGTTTCGTTTTACCATTTTGTTGTTTTCTATAAAACCATGGAATATGTCAATCAAAGTCACAGCATGTCATTGTCAACATTCACATCCGAAAACGCAGTTGTGAGCTCATTCTTCATCTTTCAACTGTGCACGGTTTGGCATTTTCTCATTTCCTCCGCCTCTGAACCAAAAACCTCCAACTCTCAACCCTAACTCCCATTTTCTCTACCTCTCAATTGAAGAAGAGTATTTCTCTTATGGGCTAATAAACGGTTTCTCTTTTATACAGGTTTGTTGCTTTGCTTTTTGTTCGATTTTAACTTTTTTTTTAAATGTTCTTCAATCTTTGTTATTTGGAAAATCCATTGATGATGTTCTATCTGTGTTGAATGTCTTATGGGTTGATTGAGGAGTAAGACTTCCCTCAATGTAACATCAAAGGTAAGGCAACACTTATAGTTTCTATTTCTAACATTATATGGTTAGAAGTAATCAACAACACAATAATGCATAAACTGAAATTGACCCTATTTTTTTATAGATTACATCAAACTCATTTTACATGCAGATTCTCTGATTTGAAAGTTAAAGAAATATTGTTTCGTGTTGATTTGTGCAGAATGAAAAAAGCTGCTTCTATCTTGAGCACTCTTGAAACTGCAATTGTTTTGGTTAAAGTTGATGTCAATGAGAAGAACAAGGACCTTGCATCCGAGTATGATGTTAAGGAATTCCCAACAATTAAAGTTTATTTAAGTTTTTCTTTTTAAAATTTAATAATATATTAACTATAATTAAAAATATTACTAAATTATAATAAATTATATTAAAATTTCAATTTATCAAAAAACGAGTGTGTTTTTTTATGATAAAACAGCATGATTTATACTAAAAAAATATTATAATTGTTTGTGTATGATAAAAAAAAACATGAGACAATTATAAATTTGTTATGAAAAAGATAAATTTATCATTGTTTTTATATTTTTACAATTATGTATTATTTTATTTAATAAGTACACATAACATAACGTTTTATCACCGCATCAAAAGTAAATTTTGTCTCTTTATAAAAACGTAAAAAATAATATACATTAATTGTAATAATTATAATTATTATTATAATATACATTAAACTTAGAAACTTTTAACCATTTAAGGGAAGTTGTCATACATTTTAGGTTTGAAAAAATGTTCTAATATCTCAAATAGGTTTAATAAATTTTTTAGAATTAACTCATTTGGATTCAACTGTAGTTTGTTAACTCATCTGAATTGACAGATAGATGTGAACGTATCTGAGATATCAACTATTGACTAATCATTTTAATGACTAACATTGTTGTGTAGTATAATTTGATCTACATTCTATTTTTAGCAATCCGCAGTTGAAAAGACTTGGAAGCATTTCGTAAGAAAATATCAAAATGTTTGCTTATAAGAAAATATGTAGGCATAAACCCACGTGTAGATGTGGGCGTATCTATGAGATAACATTTGTAAACTGTTCATTTTTATTTTCTATCTTTTAAATCTTTATTTTGATGTTGTTTATATTAATTCACTACATAATTCATTTTTTTACTAAATTGTAGAATTTTTTCAACAAAATTTGATTAATATTAAAGACTTAATATTCTCTTGATCAAGTATATTAATTTAAGAGTTATTTTTATTTCTCATTTTATTTTTCAATATAACAACTATAGATTGTTCATAGTACTGAAGGTCCTTACAGGTATAGGTCTACAGGTACATATGAACGTATCTATGAGATATAAGCGATAGACGATTCATTTTAATGTTCATCTCTTAAATCTTTCTCTTATTGTTATTTTTATATAATTAGATAGATAATCAGCTATACGATTTACTGTAAATATAGATCCATGTTTAAAAATTAGTGTATATTATTAATCTATATTTATAATAATGTGAATGTTAATCAATTGAAAAATAAACTCAAATTTTACAAATAATAGTTAAATAAATATATAATACAAAATCAAACCGTACGATAGCACGGATTATCGCACAGATATCACACAAGTTTCTAACTAATCTCTTGTTATAAAATGTTAAAATAGTTTTCTGTTTTCTTCTAGGCAGGTGTGAAATAGAATAGAATTCATTATACGAGTGGAAATAGTTTTTTTTTGTATTTATTCTTTAATATATTTTTAAAAAACTTACTCAAATTTGAATTTATGTAAAGAATCTAAAAGGTGTTTCTGAATCTTCTACATTCTAATTAATTTAATGAAATGATTTAGTCATGCATACAAGTCAATAGTCAAAAAGTATAGATAGTGGAGGCCCACCGTGATAAGCACCCTACTATTAATTTTGTTCTATTTCAGAAGCCAATTTAGACAAGATTTAGATAAGAGTGTAATTGGTTCGGTGTGAATTAATTTTTGGTCAAGAAAAGATTTGAACCGACAATAATTTTATCATTTGGTTTGATTTGTAACGTTTTTAAAAATCAAATCAAATCAAACTAATTAGTTTGATTCAATTTGGTTTAATCGATTGAATTACAATGTTTTTTTTAAATATCATATTTATCAGTGTATTCTCTACTCTCGTATTTTTTGATGTATTTTATTCTATTTTTTTATAAAATAATATATTTCATATAATTTATTTCATGTTTTATTTTTCAAACAATTACAAATTGCTTTTAATCCATACAAAACAGTGATTTAATTTCCATTGTATCATGAAATAGGTTCACTATCAAAAGTAAAAATTGATACTTAGAAGAAATTATGTTGAAAAAGAAGAAACAAAAAAGATTAAAAAAATATATGAAAATTAACGAGAAAAATTAAACACAAAAAACGCGACCATAACGTATCAGAACGACAGTAAAGTAAAGAGGACAACATTTGTAACGTAAATATATTCATTAATCTGGTTCATCAATTTAACGATTTCTAAACACAAACCAAATTAAACCACATTAGTTTTCATTATTTCGATTTCAGTTAATTGGTTTAATTTTGTTTGAATTGTCAATTTAATTGATTTTTTTAACCTATATACACTCCTAAATTTAGGTAGGCAATTGAATAACTCAAACCAAGTGTGACAAAAAATCAATTTTTGATCATCTCATCAACTAGTTAAAAAAATATAATCAACTTTTTTTCAAAAGAAAAGTATAAGCAACTTCAAAAAAATATAAAACAATTTAGATTAAAGAAACACATTTAATTGCAAAATTTTGAACTTAAAACTCTGGTCAAAGTGAATGTGAGCTGAAGGTAACAAGCACAATTAATTAGCAACTTAAATTTTATTTCAACTCTTTATCTTGTTTATAATATACGGTCAACTGGGCAAAGATTCAACAATAGTTTCTTTTCTTTTGAAGAAAATTCCAACAACAAATTTTATTTTTCTCATTGAAGAAAATACTCAGAAATTTCTTAAACAGTTGTATTAGTATTTTTATTAACACAACATAAATAAGCTGCTTCTAAGAATCCACAATTAAATCTTAGCTCTAAACAATGATTATACCATTCACAATATTTCATATCATTGTTTTAATAATATCTCCCATATCTCCTTCACTGGCCTCGGCACAAGAAGATGGAATCATAGCACAATATGGTTGTAATTCAACATGTGGAACAGTTCCAGTCCCTTTCCCATTCGGAATGAATGAACCTCATTGCTATGCACACAAATGGTTCGAAATAGAATGCAAATTTGACAACAATACTTCTTCTAGAGATCCTAAGCCTTACTTGAAGTCGTTAAATCTTCAGGTACGTGAATTTTACTATAACATGGTTGGGATTATGAACCCAATTTACCATTCAAATTGTCAAAAAACCAAAAATAGTAGCGACAGTAATAAAACCATTACTCTTAGAGACAGTCCTTTCGTATATTCACAGGCTGAAAACACGTTTCTAGCTGTGGGATGTAACAACCTTGCTTTTCTTCAGTCAAACGGGACAACTGTTGGTGGTTGTGTATCAATTTGTGATGACAACAACAGTAACAATTACAATTTCACTAGTGACGGTTGTAATGGAAGGTATTGTTGTGAAACCTCATTGCCTTCACATCTTTCAGAGTTTAACGCAACACTAAGAGGTTTAAGGGAACAGAGTAGTGATGGTTGTGGTTATGCTTTGATTGCAAGTGATTATTGGATAATGTTAGATAGTTCGTATCTGAGTATTTATGAGATTGAGACACTGAATGAGTTGAAGAATATGGAATATGCTCCTGCAATGCTTGAGTGGGAGATTTTGAATTATATGTTAATAAATTCGACATTTCAACTACCTCCAAATTGTTATGACTCCAAGGTTACTTCCTTAAGTAACAGAACCACTGGTCAACAATGTGGGTGCTCCTTGGGCTACTATGGCAATCCCTACCTTGATGGAGGCTGCACAGGTTTTTTAATGTCTTCCTTTTTATATGAAAATCTGTCATAGTATTATGTTTTATCAATCTCAGGAACAGTGTTGCAGAATTAGTCTCTAAGAAATCAATAACAAATTTCTTTGGTACATCTTTATTACTACAAAAAGTAAAACAGTTGTTTTTGAACAAAATATTACTGCTGAACTAAACATATTTATAAAGTTTATTGAATTCTATCTGGTTCCATGCCCCATTTCTAATTCAATTTCACTTCAAGAAGAAATATATACGAGTTTTAAACTAAAAGCAAACTTGGTTCCTTTGTTTCAGAAATTCCAGGATTCTTTGATAAGCATAACCGATCAAAGAAGTGGGCTATTGTAGGTATGTACCAATTTCATAAAGGAAGAATAGTAATTTTATTGCTTTTCATCGAACTTGCCTGATGTTAAGCTAGAGCTTGGTAAACACGTATACTCTATATTTGATAATAAATAAAAGAAAGACATCTACAAGTAACAAGTCTCAATTACACTCACCACCTATTTATAATAACCTAATATCTAATGACAAATATGTAGGAATTTCATCAAGTCTCGGATCCATCGGTTTCCTCATTGGTCTATGGTTTTTGTACAAAGCTATGAAACGAAGAATGATAAAGAAACGCAGAGAAAAATTCTTCAAAAGAAATGGTGGTTTGTTGTTACAAAAAAGAATGTCTTCAGGAGAAGTAAATGTTGATAGAACTACTCTCTTCACCTTAAAGGATTTAAAGAAAGCCACTGATAATTTCAATAAGAATAGAGTTCTTGGAAAGGGGGGCCAAGGTACAGTTTACAAAGGCATGCTGGTGGATGGTAAAATTGTTGCTGTGAAAAAATTTAAGGTTGAAGGAAAGGTTGAAGAGTTCATCAATGAGTTTGTTATTCTTTCACAAATCAACAATAGAAATGTTGTCAAACTATTGGGATGTTGTTTGGAGACAGAAATTCCTTTGCTTGTTTATGAATTCATTCCCAACGGTAACCTTTTTGAGTATTTGCATGACCAAAATGAGGACATACCAATGACATGGGACATGCGTTTGAGAATTGCAACAGAAATTGCTGGAGCTTTATTTTATTTGCACTCAATTGCATCTCAGTCAATTTATCATAGAGACGTCAAATCAACAAATATACTATTGGATGAAAAGTATAGGGCAAAATTAGCAGATTTTGGAGCATCAAGAATAATTTCAATTGAAGCTACTCACCTTACCACAATGGTTCAAGGTACTTTTGGATACTTAGACCCTGAATATTTTCACACTAGTCAATTTACAGAGAAAAGTGATGTGTACAGCTTTGGAGTAGTTCTTGCTGAACTTTTAACTGGTAAGAAGCCAATATCCTCTGCAGAAAGATCTGGGGAATCACAAAGTTTAGCATCTTATTTTGTCCAGTGTGTAGAAGAGAATAAGTTGTTTGAGATTACTGACAAAAGGGTCACAAAAGAAGGGGGGAGAGAACATATCATTGCAGTTGCAAATCTTGCATATAGATGCTTAGAAATGAATGGAAGAAAACGACCAACTATGAAAGAAGTCACATTAGAATTGGAAGGGATCAGGGGATTGAATAGGAAACTTAATGCACAACAAAATCATGATGAAATTGAGCTTTCTGGAATTGAAGAATACCAACCTTGGGATGGGTATTCTGCATCAAATTCATTGCCAATTGTCAGCAGCCAAACACACTCTACAGACTCAGAGGTTATGCATATTCTTGCATTAGAATAGTTGGTTTGTTAAATTTTTATTTTTTTGGTATTTGATTATTGTAACATGTATTATTGTACTATAAACAAGAGTTTGCTTAGGCTTTTAAGATAGGAGAGGGAGGTAGTTATGAATGGTGAATTATATTGGATGCATTTAATAAGCATAAACCTTGAGTGTTGAGCACTCTTTGTGCTTGCTCTTTTTTTCTATCTTCTAGTTTTCAATAGACTTTTTCATCAAAACCAGATTGATATTAGCAATTTGGGATGTGTTGATATGTATGTTAAATTTTTTCACCTCCCAGAGGTTTTATCCTCTTTCCAGCTTTCTATGTTTTACAGGAAAACTAAATCCTGGTAATGGTCAACTGCTAATCTGCTTAATAATGGAACCTTTATTATCGCTACAATTCTGACCCTTTGAACTGATTTTGAGGGTAAGACAAACTCATTCAGGGAGCCTAATGTAATTCAGGTAACAGCATCGGTAGCAAAAACTAGTGGTGTACATCACAAATAAACAGGACCCTACAAGATAATCTTCACTTGTGTTTATTCTTACACCTATATAAAAATGTTCTACCTTTCAAAAAAATTATACAATTTCTGGGGCTTCAGTGGGGAAAATGTCCATGGGAAAGTTGCCCGTAAACAGTAAATAAATAAACCATGTCTGGAAATCCAATTTATGGTGAAATAATGAAATTCCAGTAACGCATTAATATAATCTCAATAAAAATCCTGTGATTCTTATATATATATATATATAAAAAGAACCTGTGATCCTTGTGAATGCAAGTACTTCGGTTGAATTTATGGATCATCTACTTAGTATTGTGAGTGGGGACACTGAGATAAAATTTGGTATTCTTGAAATCATCCAAGAGTGGATTGTATCCATCCTTCGTTCTCGTTTTTGTGGGCAAACCAAACTCTTCCATGAAAGCCGATGATTCCAGCTACATTAGATACAAACTAATAAGGTAGAATACACAAAGTTGATAAAATATGAGAAAAAAAGAACATATAATGCAATGTCTCGTAAGAATAGAAAAATATTCCAAAGCAAAATTCAAGGGTTTCAAACTACACTAGCATATTAAGCCACATTGAAATATCTAAAATTTTCTTAACAATTCATTTTTTATAAATGAATTACTATTATTTTATGAATATTTTGTTTATAAGATTTGTCATTAAAAACCATTAGATAAGGATATGGAAAATAGAATCTAGTGCACTCAATCATGAAATACACATCAGAAGAACGATATGTTGAGACCCATCACTTCAACTTTTGCCAGATGTGATGCTAATGTTATAAAAATAAGACAATAGCCCTAACCGTAATTGTTCGCCTTTTCCTTCCCTTTTTCGATGAATGGTCATCTTGAAGTTTTAGCCACCCAGAACAATAATGATCAATTTGTTCCAAAAGCCAAAAGTCTGTAGGAAAGAAGATATCAGCATCACCCTGCAACAAAAAAGCATAAGCTTTAGTACAGCAATGTACATATTTAGAAGTTTAGGAAGAAATTATAGTATATGATAGCATCATCACTTGTTTAGTACAATAGTCATTATTAGTTTTGTACTCCTATGAAGTAACTAGAATAATTGAGCCTTGGTAGTTTCTTGGTGCAAGTGAATGCAACAAAAAGTGTTAAATTTAAGCAAGATTGTTTCAAGCTACAACATCTGCTAGTCATGTACAATGTAGGACAGATAGACACAAGTTAAGGAACCATAAAATGAGGAATGTAGATTGAAAAGGAAATAAGTTAGTGCTAAACAAAACCTTAGCCTCCATATAATCTTGGTAATCTGTGCTGCTCCCATCTTTCTGCAATGCATAAGGAAACACTCTGTCAATTAAGACTATCAATAAATGCTTCTATTTGATTTGTTGAGGGAAAACATAAAGGAGTGACTTTTGAAGATGATAGCTAATTATCATATCTGTACATACATCTTTAAAAATAGCAATACCGACCATGAGATGGAATAAGTAGAAGCTCGGTCATGAACGTGTATTCAATAAAAATATTGTGTTTATTCAATAATACAATAGAATACTATAGCAATATCTTAACCATAAAAAGAGAAGTGCCGCGATCAAGAAACAAAAAGGTTTTTGGTACTCGAGTCTTTTGCAATCTAATTTTGGTAAGTAACAATCCAATAGGTTAGCCATAAAAAGTTAGATTGATAAACTGCTTATAAAAAATCAGCATTGCTTAAACTGTACATAAAAGAAAGATGGCAAGGTTGCCAAGTGGTAGTTCCACATGGCAATTGAACATTGTTTCATAATCATATCACTTGTGCAGTATAGAAATAATCAAATAATACACAGCAAATGGATAAAGACTCCATTCTAAGAGCTATGGCGTGCGTGATAACTTTGTTGTTGTTCTAATGTGTATGAAATGAGTTGCTATTTAGGAAATATATAACAAGAATATACTTTAGTTGAAACCAGTGGAGCTCGTTCCCCAGGTATCTTCACATCTGGCAAGTAGCTGAAATCAGAAGCAATCAAAGACATCTTTGGTAGCACCTCATGGAGAACCTCGAGTAATTTCTGGAGAGAAAAAATGAGCATATGGTGAATGTAAAAATCCATTTGCATATCAGGCTTATGGCAGACTTAAGAGACGCTTACCAAGCAACCAGTTGGCAGCCAACATCTACGTGGTTTTGGGTGAACTTTAGACCAAATACTTTTAAGTGCTGTTACCGCACTGCTCTGTGGTGTTTTAGTTTTATCCAAGTCCGTGATCTCAACACAACGTGTAACAAGTGAGTCTTGCAATGGCTTGTATAACTCGCTGAGAGATTCTCTTTTAAGAGTAGAAAATGGTTGACGGGTCAATAAAACCAAGCCACGGAATGTTATAATTTGATAATCACTCAATAGCTAACATTTATCAAAACATTTTTTTAATTGATAGTATTAACTAACTAAGCCCTAGAATATGTGTTGTTGTGTATCATGTATGTAGCAATAGTGATCTGGATCTACGCATAAACTTACCGTTCATGTTGTTTCTCAACCCAAACTTCCATCCATGGGGAGATTTGACTCTCTGAATAGACAACATCATGCGGAAGATTGTCAAGTACCTGCACAAAATAATAAAGGAGATGCAAAATATCTTAGCAATAGTAGTGATCATACAATAACATTTAAATCAGAAAAGGGGGATAATTGATTTCTAGTCGGCAAACAATACACCTACAGAGATAAAGTGGAAGGGAGTCCTCAAAGAGGCGGGAGTTTTTACTATTGAGTCATGAGCAAATCCCACATAAATTAATTGTTTCAAACTTTTAAAGATGCAAGTATAGTGACAATGGCAGATGGAAAATATGTCGGATCTTAGCTACTAAAAGGAAACTAGCACAAGTGTTTAGGGTCAATAAATGTCACATGGCACCTGTTTTCCTTTGGACTGGAGAACAAGCTCGCTGTACAGGGTTTCTTATAGTGGCCATTATCATACAAGTGTGAAGTCAGCGAGGCAACTCCCAGATGCACCAGAATGCTCGAGTCGTGCTCCTTAGTCTCAGCTCGACCACAATTTCCCATAACTTCATAATATGACTCATAAGTTTAATCATCTATAATTTATAAAATTTTGGATATCTCCTTTGTTCTTAATTATAAATCGAAATTGAAGTGCTTTTTCTCCACTCGTCCAGAATTTTCTTTCACCTCATAATCTCTAAAATGTTTTGCTCTAAATTTGATTATGATCCTAACATAAAATCTGTGATCCTAACATAAACGTTAACCTTGGTATGTTTACATTTTACTTTTATCTGGCATCATGTAATGTAATTCACATCCTTATATGTCCTGTTCCATCAATCTCCAGTCCTTTTCCCTTGGTGTCATCACACTCAAAGCATCTCTTCTTCCTCTTCAATGGTAAAAGCCAACTTGGACTAAATTGATATAATAACATGGCAATGAAATAGTTTGAAGAATTGTGGAGGAATAAAATCAACTCATAATAGAACACACCTCTAGCATTATAACCCAACATGGTTGTTGCTCCACATCCCCTGTAAAGGAAGGAACAACCATATTAGCATTATGACATAAGCTTCTATTCCACAAATAAATTCCCATAAATCACCAAAAAAGGACTTCCCGGCTTAGAAATTGAACTTTTAAAAGAAATCAAAATGAGTGTGTGTGTGTGTGTGTGTCGCAAAGAGTCTTAAGATATAAAAAATAATAGATATTAGAGTAGTTAAGAGTTGTTATAGAAGTTGGTTAGTTAATTGAGGTTGTTATAGAACTATTGGTATAAATAGAATAATACTATGTAGAGCTGATCACTGAAATATTGTAAACATTTGTGAATAGTGCGGCAACTCTTGTGAAGGGGAAATCATTGGAGGAGAGATTCTTCTCCAATTTCAATATAAAAGTGTTCTCTCTTTGAAATCCAATTATTCTATTCCTAACAATGACCATGCAAATACTATCAAGCTATAACAGGCATTTGCCATGAACAGTCAAATGTTGAGCTTGTAGCATCCTAACATGCACCATCACCCATTCAACATACCAATATTCACTATCTTTGTTTATAATCTATGTTAGTAGATATTTAATAGTTCCACTACTGAGTAGTTCAATCTTCAGTTTCTTAACAACTTTTAGAAGCCATGGTAAAACTTATGTTACTCAATAGAGGAAAATCTTTAATAGCATCCTACCCCATCCACTCCGGTCAGCAGCATCACGGCATTCTACTTTGAACTTTGGGATATGGCTGCGCACTTCGCCAACAGTTTCTTTTTGCACCTCAGCAAGTGAAGGGCTGATCTCAACTGACCTGTGGTTAGAAATAGGATATTAACTGGGATGTTAATCATATGATACCCAAGAGAGTAAATTTACTCCAATTCAAATCACTAGCAGCAATCAATAATAGGATATTCATAAGACTGGTAGATGATTATTACAAACATGGATAAGATATAAAACCAAATTTGTAATAAACTATACATATAATACTTATAAGAAGAAAGATCAGAACCAAAAATTGATATCTACAAATCAACAATACATCATTTGTATAAATATTAAATACTACTTAGTATAAATCGAAGGCCCAAACCCTCCCGTTCACATTGGCTGAGAATAAAATAGAACAAATAAAGTAAAACCAGAAGGCATGTAACTTGCTAGTTTCTCACTTTATCATTTATATTTCATGTCAAATGTCAATGGAATGAAACTATGAAATTAAAGAATCGCTCCAAAATATAAGTTACTAATAGGATAATCATACAAAAAAGATAATAAAAGTACAGTAATTTAAGCACAGCCAACTGTCTTAACAAAAAAGTTTTAAAGAAAAAGTGGCCCTAACATTATATTTTGGTTTTATTATGAAATATATAGCATACTGAATATCTCGGCACGTACGTGTAAGTCATACTGTTGTAAACTTTTGGAGGAGCATTCAACATTATGTAATCCATTATACCCTTGGCACATGTTCCTGATCCACCACCAATTTCATAAATCTGATTGCAAATTAGAGGATAGTATCAACTACTGAAACAAGTAATAAAAAGTAACATTATTTAAGCGCCATAGACTTATAAATTTATAATGCTTACTAAATTTTTATCAAAAAGAAAATGAAGCTTATCAACGAAAAAAAACTAAACAAATTACAAATAGAAAGCAGGTGTGAGAAGTATTCATATAGAACTGAAACCATATTAATAAGTGGTTAAGTGAAAAATAAAAACATAATGCAGGGCTCGCAAAATAAAAACACTATCAAATAGAAAGGAAACAATATTGGATATGGACTTATGTTAATGGTATGCCTATTAAGAGTAGACATGATGATAAAAGACCAACTACCAGACGTAATACATCTTTAAAGAGTTTCGAGCTCTGTTGAACTCTGAACTATTTTTCCTATTCAATGATTCAATCTCAGAGAATCAACTTGTATGCATGATATATTTATTTAAGCAATGATTACAGTCGATTAGTTCATATTTAAAAATTGAATTGAAAATTTGCATAAAATTCATATAAAAAATTTAAAATGAAGAAAATTACATTTCAAAACTCAAAACTATACGAATATGCATCAACAAGTACAGCAGTCTCCTAATGTTAACATTTGTCAAAGAAGATCATGTGCAAAAGTTGCAGTGCGCATACTTTTAGAGGAACAGAGAAGTTTGCGGTGCGCGTGATGGCTTCCGCAATAGCATGGGCATACCAAGGCTGCAAGAAGGAAAAAAATCAGAATATAAAAGAGCAAAAGCACTGCATCAACATGTATGTTCAAGAAATTAGAAACATAAATAATATTATTTAAAATTCAACGGCAGTTCCAAAAAAAATATTAATTTCATTAGATTTTAATACATATAGGGTCCAGAAAAATTGCATACCGAAGCTCAACTCTAATATGTGCTTGATCAGTTGTGCATTTAAACAATGATCAATTCCACCACAAAAATAGGATAAAGTTGAACATCCCAAGGTATACTATCCTGCCCGCAGATTATTTAAATCAAAAGAAAATGAAAATACTTCACAATTTCCATTTTAATCAATGAAAACTTTACGCTTTTATCAATAAATGAAATGCAATATAGTGTATTTCGCAAGTCATAGTTATGCTTTATATCAATTATGGGGAACCACTATTTCTTGGTCTAATGTGTGTATCATTCGGTGCTACTTAACCTTCCTATCCAGAGGTTAAAACTCTTTTAAGAACAACTAGCCCAATGATCGAAACAGATTTCTTTTTTGAAAAATAGGGCAAGCAACAAACTTGTAAGTGGCCCAGGCAGAAGATCGCGAAAAAGTACCAATGAGAAACAACAAGATAGAGTCTGCATTAAATTTATTAACAAAATTTGATGGGAATTAGATACTATTCTGTCTGCTGTTAATATTAATGTCAAAGTGTCATACACACAACTGATGTAGCGTAAACCAAATGAAGAAAAATAAAGGCAAAATACTTTTTTTGATCTTGTATTTTAACGTCAAAGTTCATTTTGGTCCCTCAACTTAAAAAAGATTCATACCGGTCTCTTAACTCTTCAAAACACTTCATTTTAGTCTTTTATGTCTAATTAACGACGAAAAAACTCAAAAATCAGACGCTAAATTCGTCGTTAATTAGACAAAAAAGACTAAAATGAAACGTTTCGAAGAGTTAAGAGACCAATATGAACCTTTTTTAAGTTAAGGGACCAAAATGAACCCCGACGCTAACATACAGGTCTAAAAAGGATATTTTTCCAAAAATAAACTTCTATTTCAGTCCATAGAGATGATGGTAAGATTAGGACATTAAGCTGTTAGAACATTTTAGGTTCAAAAATGGTTTGATATTGTTGCTTCAATATTCCCTAGGCACACACATGTATAACTTCATATATGCAGGACAAGAAAACAATTATCACAAGGAATGTTTACCTTAAAAATCTCCACCGGAGTAAACCACGATATGTCACTCTGCTTATAAATATTATCCAAATATCTCATATAAGCTTTTCGGCCTGAAATATTTCACCAATCTACAATATTAGAAGTTCCAACATACCAATGAAAAATTATTAATAATAATGTTTTATTATATCTTCAATTGAGACGATAACTACTTGGTAGGAAATTCTAAAATGTCCATCAAAAAAGTTCAAACCCAATATCATCCGAAAACAAAATACTAAGTCAACTTCCCAAACTAATAATACTAACACACACGTTTTCAACACACTCTTTTATTATTGGTTAAAATTTAACGAGTAAAAGAGAGTGTGTGTTACTCCCAACAGTCAAAATTATCAAACAAAGTATCATTCCTAATAGGGTAATGTACTCATACCCTCCTCGTACAATAAACAACATTAACTCCACTCTATTCTGCAAATCCAAAGAAACAAGAGAATGACGTTATTTTTTTGCTACAATACAACAGCTCCACCGGAACTAGATCACGAAGAAATAAGCTCACATCATGTAATCCAAATTTCCTTGCTATTTTTTCTATATTAACTACCTCGATTACTTGCTCTCTTTTTTTCTCAAAACAACCCAACTACCCTTCCCAAAGCAATGGAACCAAAACCCATACCATCATCTCACTTTCTTCCACCAACCAAAATTCATAGGCATGAATTATGGCCACAGACCAATCTGATT